CCATCATTATTTACTGGGGTGTCTCGGATTGGCCAGCCTCTCCCAAATGCCAAAAGAAGTCCTTAACTACAGCATTGGATGTAGCACCAGTAAGCAATACTAAGATGCCCATTAGCAGAATGCATCTAGTTCTCAAGAGCAATTAGGGATGGATAATAAATGCTGGCCTCGTTAGCAATGTCCACATTCCATGAATGAATAAAAGAAAAACACTGTTGGCAGCACTGTAACAAGATCCCAAGGTAACAAAAAAAAGGAACAATCAGTTAGTCCTCCTACTGCTTGTTCATTCCATGCCTAGAATTATAATATCAGCACACTAGAATTGTTATTCCTGGAATGAAATCTGACTGACCAAAAATGACCACATTCACATCTACTTTTTGTGAAAAATGTATACAATGAGCAGAAGCTAATGGCACAGAAACCTTATTTTTTTTTTGTCCCTGACCATTAGAGTTCTGCTAGGCAATTGGCACAATTCCAGCAGAACATGTCAGTGACCCTGTTCAAGTCATTGCCTAAACTAAACCATCTTCAACTATTTCATCAATTTCCCTGCCACCATCATGAGATCAGAGGTGAAGAGGTTCAATGATGATTGCACAATGTTAAGCAGTGTTTGCATATCCTAAAGCTGTCCATGATCATCTGTAGCAAGACCTGGTAAGAGTGAATGCATCCCCCTTAACATTCAAGAGCATTACCAATGCTGAATCTCCCACTATCAAAATTCTTCTGGGTCACTGGACTCAAAACATTAACTCTGTTTTCCCTCCACAGATGCTGCCAGACCTGCAATTTCTCCAGCAATTTCTGTTTCAATTATCAAAATGCCAAGCATTACTATTAATCATGAACTGAGCTGGATCGGTTATATAAATACAGAGTTTACAAGAACTGGTTAGATGCTGAGAATTATGCACCAAGTAACTTGCATCTTAACTCCAAAACTCTCAACTCATACATCTGTGGTTTATGAACATTTGGACGTATAAAGGCTATTCATAATGCTGAGCTATATCAAATACCTTCCTGAGTTAATGAAGCAATAAGCAACAGTGCGTACACATTAAGGGTTAAACATAGCGGCAAAGCTCCTGTATGCATTAAATTGATGTATCTGATAAACGAACTGCACATGCTCTGAATAATTCAGTTGGTCTGTCTACCAATCTTATTCAGTCTCCTGTTTACTTCAAGGTTGATTTAATTGAGCTGGAGTACTATGATGTAATGATTTTGCTGTTCATTTACTGAATGTGACACAAAGAAAGCAGTAAAGCACATGTCAGCAGTACCGACTAGACAGGCGCCTTCTGCCAAAAACCTTCTCAACCAGAAAATAAAACTGGGATAAACTAGATGGTTTGCAGAGCTTTCTTTGCAGATAATGCAGCTATTTCCATATTATTGTACTGATTGTTAACCTAGGATTACTATTATCCAAATGATACACCACAGTGAAGCTGCAAGACTGAAATAACTACTTAATTAATTTGAATGAACATGTTTTACCAAAAACTTGCTGAGCTCAACATGGAAAAATAGGCAATGCATACTAAGTGCTTTGCATTGAAAATTTTAGATTTGTTTCAGTTATGTGGTGAAAGCTCCTTTATGCACCAAAGGAGGTCCCAATCTTCTCACTGTGTTTCTACCACTTTTATATTTTTAAATGTTAAAATTACTGCCTTATAAAATGCCTTATGTAACAAATACTGCAGCAAGGCCGAGATATAAATATAATTTCAGCTGGAACATGAAAAGCTGATGACGTAGCTTTTGCCCATTTTATACCAGGTAATGAAAAAGCTCTGAACGGTGCTCATTAATCCATTTGACTTTCTATGACTAAACCACTGTTTTTCCCCTCTCCTCATGTGTGAAGCAACAACAAAAGTAAATATTGAGGGACCAAAATCTAATAAATGCATGCAGCCTGCCACTGGCCACACAAACTATACTGTGTTTTACATTCAGCGATACATTACCAACTGCCCACTAGCTTCTCAGTAATAACTTTTAGTACAACAATAGCTCCATTGTAAATTGTGTAATGGCCATCCTGAAGCTCAACTCATGTAGTGTTCAACTGAACCCCTTAAACTGAAGTGCTTTCTCAGGCATTATTAAAAAGTACCCAAATATACAGGGTGTCATAATTTCCCTACAACTGGTAGGAAGTTGCTAATTTCTACCAGTAACAACTTGCATTTACATAGAACCTTTAACAATGAGAAATATTCCAAACAGCTGAAATAAAATGGATGCTGAACCAAGAAGATATAAAGAGATGTATATGTTTGACAAAAGCAGTGTCAAAGAGTAATTTTTAGGCCAGGTATAAAGGATGGGTGGGGTAGTTTTAAGAAGCTTACAGAAATAGGGAGGGGCAAAGTCACTCGTGCTATGACTACAATTTTAAATTTGAGGAACTGGGAGATTGGAACCAATGAATGTCAGTAAGGTCAGATCTGTTTGGCGAATAACAATTGATGAGGAATAGGATACCCACAGCCAAGTTTTTATTAACCTGAAGTCTTTTAGAGCATAGTTGCAAGATTGAAATAGTTAAATACAGATGTGGCAAAGGGAAAGACTGAAATTTCAGTGCTAATGGGCTGAGTTACTGGGCAGTGTGCAATGTTACAGATCAGCTTGGAGCTTAAATGCGATGGACCAGAAATCTGTCCTTTTTTATTTCACTATAGGAATCCATATTCAATTGAGGAAATTTTTCATATGTTTAGCATTGTAATATTTCTGTGACTACAGAGATCTTTCCATTGCCTTTATCGAATATTGAATATAAAACTTGCTTATTGTTTACAATGAATTGTAGAAGCTGGCCAAACGCTAAGAACCATGTGCCTTTTATTCAAATCTTCACAAACAGCCCTCAAAACAGGTCCACATTGGTTGGTCAAATGTTGTAGCTTTGATGTATGTTAATATGTGATGTTGCCATAATTTCAAGCGGTGTAACAGAAGCTTAGTTTAATAAAAGCTGGTCAGCTTGAATTGGCACCATCTATTTCAAATTGATTTGGGGCATAAAGACAGAAAATGGTGGCAAAGCTCGGGTCTGACAGTATCCGTCGAATCAGAAAGAGAGTCAACCTTTTGTCAAATCTGATTCTGTTTCTGTCTTTGTGTGTACTGTTAGACCTGTTGAATTTGATCCAGCATTATCTGTTTGTATTTGTTTTCCAGCAAAAATAATCCATTTAACTAGATACATCTAATTTAAAGCTAAGGCATTGTTATCAGGAGAGTGTTGAATGATTGTTCTAGCATTTGAATGATACTTTTGCTGGCACTTTAATCACACACTCTTTGAATCCAACAATAAATTTGATCAAAACAGAAATTGCTGGAAAAGATCAGTTCTGAGGAAGGAATCACTGGACCTGAAATGGTAGCTCTGATTTCTCTGCACACGTGCTGCCAGACCTGCTGAGCTTCTCCAGCAACTTCTGTTTTTGTTTCTGATTTACAGCATCCAGCAGTTCTTTCGGTTTCTAATAAATTTGATCAGCCCTCCTTAGCCAATTAGTTTGTGCAGTTCCCTCACACAGACAGAACTCTTTGAACACAACAGCTCGCACTCACAAATGTTTTTGCTACTTTGGATTGAGAAAAGCACCTGAGAGTAACATGGAAGATTAAGAAATGAAATCCTCCAATTTATTTTTGCTTCTTGTATAATTGCAGTTTAAATAAAATATCTCTTTTTTTAAAAGAACTCTGGGCAACATGACTTTCATTGAAGAGCTCTCCATTTATTTGGAAGGTAACAAAGCTGTGGGTGCAAATATTTTTGGTTCAAAGTACTATTTCTAACTGGATTGATAATTGCAGACTATCAAAATTATAATATGTGCTAATATGAAGGTGCTGCCAGTAATAACCATTTTTGTAGCATTATTAAGAAAACAGGCATTTACTTCCAGATATCATTGAGATTTGTGAGCTGGCTTCTCAATGCAGAGTTGCACTATCATTGGCAGGAATGTGGACAGATTTGAATACAGAGAGCTCTCAGCAAGCAGAGGGTAAGCAGGAACACAGGGTGGATGACAGAATGTGTAAGGAGCATTTGGGGATGGTGGGTAGAAGAGCATGACAAGCATATAGGGACAGACAAGGGAGAGAAGAACGGTACAGGAGCAGGGCAGTGGCAACAGTGCAGAAAAAGGAACTGGAAACAGACAGCATATAGCATGGGAAGGAGTACAGAAAGAAAGTTAACCAAGGGATGTGCGGGGTGGGTAATAGGGCAACAATGGGACAGGGGTTGGCAAAAGCAAGAGGTAGGGTCTAGGGATCCTAAGTGGTCTGGGTGAGGTGTAAGTCAGGGGTATATGAAATGAGCATGGAGTCTGTGGAGTAGTTACTCAGTCGGTTAGACTATGTAGTTAATGGTCTAACATTTTCTGAGTAACCCTCTGAAGTTAGTGGTTTAAATGGAGACATTCAGAAGGTTTCAGGCATAAAGGAATAGTACAGCACAAAATTCAAATTCCCAGGCAATTTCTTCAGCATCTGCTACGATGGGGATTCTGCAGGGTCCCCACACATATGCATCTACATGGGCATAATGATTGTCTGGGCCATCAGAAAATCTGGGACATTATGTTAACCAGATTTGCAGCACAACTATAGTGAGTTTATCATCATGGCCTTTGACATGGTTGGCAATCATTAAGAAATGTCAAAGCCTTTCGCCGTTTCTACTAATTGAAGCTCTAAGCACTTAAAACAATAATGATAGATTATTCTATATGAGTTCTTAATACAGCTATCATTGTTATAATGTTAAAGTACCAGTAGAAATTCAAGTGTCCTTCTTCACAAACGCCTCTGACTCAAATGTAAATATCAAAAAACAAATTGAAGTAAGTCAATAAACACTTAAAACTGCAAATTGTTGCCTAATAGGAACCAGAAAGTCACTGGGTTAAATGTAATAAATATTTTGTTTGCCATCATATTACCTCATTGATGCTGATCTCTGCTTCAACATACTGCAATCCTTTCTGAAGGATTGAGATTAATGCTGCAGGTGGCACTAGTGTCCCATTGATGTTTGACTGACTTATATGACTTTCTATTCCAAATGTGAATGCTGAATGAGAGAAACCTGAAAGAGAAAACAAACAGTATTAATTAAAAAGTTACAAGCAAGCATCATTCACAGAGACGTTCATGTTCATGAAGAACAGACAGCATGGTCTGTCTGGATACAAATCAGTATCCAGATTGTGAAGATTTTTGCAGATTAATTTAGAAATATTACATCTATTTTTCACATTTTCACCTTGCCCTCAACACCACTGATTCTTTTACTAACATGAGACTATCTTACTGCTTTCCCTAAAATGTGCATGATCCAGAACCTTCTCTTCAGCATCACAGCCATGATCTGAGTTGAAGTTGCCATACAGAGCTTGAGGTTATGGTGTGATTTCAAAACCAAGCCCTATCTAAATGGAGGACAGAGGTCACACCTTGAATTTGAATAGAGGTCACGCTCTGAAGTTTTTGAACCCAATGTTCAGTCCAAGCTGTAAAGTGCCTAAGCAAAAAATTGAGTTGTTCTTCCTCCAACTATTGTGGAGCTTCATTGCAATAATGTAGTAGATCCTGGATGAAAATGTCAGCAGACAGCAAAATTGTTTATTAAAATGGCAAGTAACTGGAAGGTCAGATGTTAATCTTATGGGCAGAGTGGGGATGTTCCACGAAGTGGTCACCCACTCTAACTTTGGTCTCACCAATGTAAAGGAGACTACATTATGGGCAGCAATACACCAGCTAGATTGAAAGAAGTACAAGTAAAATGCTACTTCATCATGAAAGTTTGTTTGGGGCTTCGAAGAGGGAGGAGGGAAGAGGTTAAAAAGTCAAGAGTTACACCTTCAGAGATTGCACCGGGGGTTGCCATTAGGGGAAAGGTGAAGATTTAAGTTTTCAGAGACCTCGGAGGAATGGGCCAAGGTTTTGCAAAGGTAACAGTCCCTGCAGAATACTGGCAGTAGACAGGAAGATGTGCTTGGTGGTCATATCCTACTAGAGGTAGCAGAAATGGCAGAGGATGCTCCTTTGAATGCTAGGACCGGTGAGGTTGAAAGTGAGGACAGGAGGAACCCTGGTGCTGTTCTTGGAGGGAGAGAAAGGAGTAAAGGCAGAAGTGTGGAAAATGTGTTGGCAATAGAAGTCAACCACGGTATGAGGTGTCCTTGGTTGAGGGAAAAAAATGACATATAAAAGCGCCCCAGTGGAAAGCAGCATCATCAGAACAGATGCGACAGAGATAGAGAAACTGAGGAAATGGAATGCAGTCCATGTAGGAAGCAGAATTAGGAAGTGTAGTCAATACAACTGTGGAAGTCAGTGGGTTTGAAGTAAATAACAGTGAACAGTCTATCCTCATGACTGAAAATACTGAAGTCAAAGAAGGGAGTTTTAATATTCTGGGGACATGGGTTCAAATCCCATCATAGCAAATTTCAGTTTACATAACTAGTGTAAATGAAAGCTAGCCTAATGGGACTATGCAACCAGTCGATTGTTGTAGAAACCTATTTGTTTCACTAATGTCCTCGAGGGAAGGAAATGTACCATCCTTACCTGCTCAGGCTCACACAAGACTCCAGACCCTCAGCTTACTCCTAACTGCCCTCTGGGCAATTAGGGGTGGGCAATAAAAGCTGGCCACTAGCCAGCAATGCCCAAGTCCCACAGATGAATTTAAAAAAAGGTCCTGTGCTCATGAAAAGGGCGTTGCAACTTTTATGACAGTCAACCTGCCTAAAATATCAAAATTTAAGCGCAATTTTCTTCTGTACACCCTACCTCTCACCTCTTTCCCTGGTTATTTGCTTGACCTGGCTCGAAAGTCGTATACCTTTTTATTTAAGATTAAAAACTACTTTCCAAATATTGCCAAGACTGTCAATTTCAAGCATGTTGTCCATTGTTTCTTTTTCTTAAAAAACCCAACTACCCATGTCTCACCAACATCCAAAACTTTCCAGGCTCATCAGCCTTTATCTGACTAATGTCAACCCAGCCAGTACTCAGCTACCATCTATTCACACTAAAATTCCTGCACACCTATGACTCAACTTCTGCCTGCCACCACTGTCTTTCCAATCATCATTATACTGATTTTATAATCATCCTTACCTGTTGTCACTGCAGCCACTTACTCTTCCCTACCTTTACAACCACTATTAGTTCTTATATTCATTCACTCTCTGAGACCACCTCTTTCCAGCACCTAATGTCACTATACTTCGACCAGGTCTCAGCTCATCTGCTACTGAAACCACCCCCCTCCATGCCTTAGTTACCTCTAGCATTTGCTATTCCAATATAATTCTACTTGGTCTCCCCCAGTTCTACTCACCGTAACATTAAGGTCATCCAAATTTATGCTGCTTATGTCTTTACTTACTGCAAGTTTTTAAAATCTGATTTCACCTGTGTTTATTGACCTACATTGACTCCTGATTTTAAAATTCTTGTATAACAAGTTGTAGAGCTGGATGAACACAGCAGGCCAAGCAGCATCAGAGGAGCAGGAAAGCTGACGTTTCGGGTCGAGACCCTTCTTCAGAAAAATAGGCAGTTCCTACTATCTCTTTAAAACTCTTATCCTTGTTTTCACATCACTCCATTGTCTTTTCCTTCCTTGTCTCTGCAATCTCTACCAAACCCACAACCCTCTGAAGTATGTGTTCCTCTAATTTTGGCCTCTAAAGCATTCCCAATCCTAAGTGTCCCACGACGACCAGTCATGCCTTCAGATGCCTAAGCTCATGTTTTGGAATTCAATCCCTATGCGTCTCTACCTTACTTTCTTCCTTTTAAGACATTTCTCAAAACCTTCTTTGACTAAGGTTTTGGTCCTTATGTGGCTCAGTGTTATGCTGCATCTTACCCCTGTGAAGCGTCTTGGAATGTTTATTACATAAAAAGCCCGAGTAGTACGAGTTTCATGAAATAATTTCTGTAACTATGTGCAATTAACAATGCAATGCTTTCTTAAAACAACTTGCTTTAGGGTTGAAATCTCAGAAAAAAATGCATGAAATGCATTAACATTTCTGTTACATGTCCCCAGAGAAATGCATGGTTTCTACATTACAATGATACAGTTTTCTAGTTCTAGTTTCTAGTTCTTTCAATGTTACACTAATGATGATACAAGATCTGAGACAACTGTAAATGGTAGATATTTTCACAGAAAACCAGACATCACACTGCAATTCCCGTTTTGTTCTTTTAAAAAAGTACTGCTTGAAGATGTAGCTGGAAGTGTACAGTCTTTTGTGGTCTTAGTGTTCTGGTTGATGGTAACTTTACTGGGAGAGACAGAGAAACCTAGGACAACTGCCATCATGTAACTTTTTTAAGGTTTCCCTGGCTCTTCTACCAAGGTTTACACATGAACAGTGCAATCTCCATGGAAATTAGTATTTTGTCAAAATAAAATTGTTTTCACTTATTGCAGCATTTTTCTCAGTCTCTAATATTTAGCTTGTGCATAATCAAACTGCATAGAAGTTGCACGGTTTAAAGCAATATTATGAAAAAGCAAGGTCTACATAATACTCCCATTTTATATACAGCAATTTAATAGCTCCATATTAAATTCTTAACATCTGCACTATGATAAGCACAAAAGAGGTGCTAGGAATTAATGCGGTAGTGTTTAGGTTACTGACGGCAAAACCATAATCTCCAACTAAATTTTCAGACTTTAAAGGCAAGTTTTGGCAAGTCCTTTTAGGGGAGGCAGTAGCATAGTGGTAATGTGGCAGTAGCATAATCATAACTGGACTAGTGATCAAGAACTCCAGACAAATTTTTTGGGGACAAGGATCCCATCATTCCATAGGGTGAAATTTGAATTCAATAGAAATCTGGGATAGGCAGCTGGCTTGATTGCTAAAAATCCATCTCGTTCACTAATGTCCTTTAGGGATGGACATCTGCCTTCCTTACCAGCACTGGCCTACATGTGCCTCGAGACCCACAGCAATGTGGTTGACTTTTAACTGCCCCCTGGGCAATTAGAGATGGGTAATAAATGCTGGCCAATCCAGCAACACTGACATCCACGGAACAAGTTTTAAAAAAACACATGCTTGCTCATTAAAAGGCCAGCTCACCATAATTAAGTTCTCCTTTCCATTTAATTCTCCACAAACAAGCAACATATTCCTTTACCAACTGCATATAAGAAGCATACAGCAGGAACTTGCTTTACTTTGGAATGAGTAGCCGTGGTGAGTAGCCGATTCAGGCTGGGTAGAGAGAGAGACCAAATTGCACAGGCTGGTGACAGTGGTATCTTAGTCACTTCCTCAAGACGTCTGCCTCTCACCTAGTCCGGAGACCACTGAATTTCTGCATTTATTTTTATGTTGTGCGGAAACTTATTAATACAGTTAAGTATTATGTTATTGCATGGATTCCAGACCAGACAGGACATGTGCTTTTAAGATAGTTACATGATATGGCACCACAGGCTGGTGGAAATCTGGAACTCACTGCCTATAAAGCTGATAGAGGCAGAAACCCTCATAACATTTAATACTTATATATATTTACATGTAAATGTTTAGATGTACACTTGTGATGCCCAGACATAAAAGGTTGCGAGTCAAGCGCTGGAAAATGGTATTAGAAGAGTTAGGTAGTCCGTTTTGACCAGTGCAGACTCAATGGGCCAAAGTGCTTTTCTCTGTGTTTTAGACCTCTATGACTCAATGGTTATAATTTACAACTCATTCACAGATTTTTACAAGGAGCTGCTCCTCCATTCAGAGGCCCTTCCTCTCCAGCATTTGGTGCTGCAGACTTATTCATGGGCTGATCAACAGTAAGTGTGGGAAAGAATCAGACTGTGATTGGAAGAGCAGTTAGCAGCCAGAGGCACGGAGCCATGGCAATGAGTCTGCAAGCTGGCTCTGGTATTAGGAAGCGTTCTGCTTTCATCTCAGATCTCTGGCATTCACAGTATTTCACATAAGGAACGAAGGAGAATCAGCGGCTGGAGACGGGACCTCTCATCTAGATTGCTCTTGTCTTACGCACTATCTTGAAGGAGCCGATCAGGGACAAGTTGTG